AGTGCATGTCCACTCACATGATAGATATGGTTTTTTATCGACCAAATATGCGATGCTACAAGCATCAGTAATGCACAGCCGGATAACGAAAATCACAGGGGCGGTTCCAGAAAAAGGTGGTAGGGACCAGTGTTTCAAGCTTCAATACGAGCGCTTTTATCTGTTGACTGATAACAAAGTACTTGTGACACCCCAGAATAGTTGAAATGTTGCAGCAGAAATGCATCAGGTGATAAAGAAGACACTAGGCACAGCCACGCCGGTGTAGAACGTCGGTTCCTTTTATTTGCATGCCCTACAACAGGCATGCTTTCTCTCAACCAGCTTCGTATATCGTACACTGACCACTAAACTAGGGCATGGATTTGTCTTTGCTGGATCTATGTGTACGTTCGACATATTTGATTTGTATTTGTTAAGGATTCGTCAATCACAAGGCGTGTGGACAAACGAAGATCCCCAGCGCTACTGCAACCCCTCCGTCAGTTAAAATGTTCTCATTTCAAGATTTCGCTTGCACCATTGGAACAAAACAAAACAAACTTGTGCGTATGCTTTTGATCAATCAAAGTCGGAACGTCACAATGACAGACAAGCGTAGAAATGCATCGTTTTATTTTGGTGGGTTAAAACGTCACATGCGCCCCACTTTCTCCGCTCTTGTTCGAATAGACAGATTCGCAGTTCAGATGTCGCACTGACCTGTGAGAAATGGTTGCCAAAAACATTTCATTCAAAACTGAGTACATTTCAACCTTTCGTGCAGACTTATCAGTTTTAGGCGTGGTCTGAAGCCGAACTCACCTCATGGGAATAGCGATAAGCTTTAAAATATCAAACCTCTGAAATCGTCAAAAAATTCAGAGTCCTGATGGTTCTGACCTAACTGCACGCACGGAATTCACCTAAAAACCGTAAAAATGGCTTCGAATTGAGTTTGCCCTTCCGCTCAAATGCTAACAGCGCCGCCTCATTTCCGCAACTACCATCTCATCTTTTTGACGCCAGATGACTCTCAGAGCGGCCCGTTCTGCGGCGGGCGCGCGCCCCCTGGTGACGGGTTACCGGAAGCCGCGCCTGAGGGCTGACTGGTGCCGCGCCTGAGGACTGACTGGTGCCGCGCCTGAGGACTGACTGGTGCCGCACCTGAGGACTGACTGGTGCCGCACCTGAGGACTGACTGGTGGCCCGCCTGAGGACTGACTGGTGCCGCGCCTGAGGACTGACTGGTGCGCGCAGCCTGAGGACTGAACTGGTGCCGCACCTGAGGACTGACTGGTGCCGCCCACCTGAGGACTGACTGGTGCCGCGCCTGAGGGCTGACTGGTGCCGCCCTGAGGACTGACTGGTGCCGCGCCTGAGGACTGACTGGTGCCGCGCCTGAGGACTGACTGGTGCCGCGCCTGAGGACTGACTGGTGCCGCGCCTGAGGACTGACTGGTGCCGCACCTGGGACTGACTGGTGCCGCACCTGAGGACTGACTGGTGCCGCACCTGAGGACTGACTGGTGCCGCGCCTGAGGGCTGACTGGTGCCGCGCCTGAGGACTGACTGGTGCCGCGCCTGAGGACTGACTGGTGCCGCGCCTGAGGACTGACTGGTGCCGCGCCTGAGGACTGACTGGTGCCGCGCCTGAGGGCTGACTGGTGCCGCACCTGAGGGCTGACTGGTGCCGCACCTGTGCACGAGAGGGGGACCCAGAGCTGCCGCTACGGTAGATGTTAGCCACGCCATGCCGCACATACCAGGCGACTTTGCAGAATCCATTACCTCATGCAAGCGGCCACCGCGTACTCCGCAGAGTTATATTCAAGGGCCGAGGGGGGAGCACGGCAGCCTGTAGGCTGTAGTGCTGGCCTCCCAGTGGCGTGGCCACGATTGTACCAAGAAAGGGACGAGTCGGGTCATAAGTGTAAAAAGGTCATTCTCCCTTTTTGTGTAATATTGTTTGTGTTGTAAATGCCCTGGACTCAGTAGGCGCGTTAAACTCGCATTTATGCACTGGGGACTTCGATCATAGGGGAGCCCTTCCAGTAGCAAAGCACGACCCAAAGGCCTCCTCGTGGCTACACCACTGAGTCCTCGAGCGACAACTAAGCAGAGGATGGTTCGTCTATCCTATTCCAGGGTATTTTGTAAAAAGGAGCTCGCTTAGCGTTTTGTTGCCTAGTACAAGGAGAATACCAATACCAGGTCGCAAATGAAAGCATTGCTGAGTCAACGAAACTCTTTCCACTAAGACCCCTAACAGTGTAGTCATCTATGAACAGGGTTTCAAATTCTTGAGATCACTTTGCAGAATCGGTGTCGCTTAGTGATGTAGCCAATGGGGTGGGGTGGAGTCATGCCCCATCTGCTTCCCCGCGGGTGGCGTGTGCCCCGGTGGTCGAAGACCCCAGCACTTCTAGCACTTTAAAATGCCCCAAGGACTTCTGAATTATAAAACGGACCCGTCGCATCAAAGTAGCATCCCGAGCCCAAAATGCTGGTCCGCAGAAAACACAAGGCCCTGTGGCAACGAAGCTGACCCCCTTGGCCAAAAGAGATCACTGTGACCCGATTTAGCTTCTTCGGGGGCAAGTCCGGGTCACACTTCAATGTCCGCTCCACCGCCCGTTGTCACTCGTGCAGAAATCTATCTCTTCATCCGTCTATGTATCCATGTGTATACATATATACATACATGTGTATATATATATGTAGATATAGATATAGATATAGATATAGATATATATATATATATATATATATATATATAGATATATAGATATATAGATATATAGATATGTATAGATATATATAGATATAGATTTAGATATAGATGTAGATATATATATATATATATATATATATATATCTATATATATATATATATATATATATATTTATATATAGAGAGAGAGAGAGAAGAGAGAGAGAGAGAGAGAGAGAGAGAGAGAGAGAGAGAGAGAGAGAGAGAGA